ATAAAAGTAACTATGAATTTACACATAAAGATGTACTGCAAATTTCATTTAATTACAAATAACATGCAGTTAAGAGTCCAAACACATAAAATTTAGTGCACACTTAAGTATATTCTTCAAAGTGTAACATTTCTGTAATAAATTCTCATTTAAAAATGTATTTCTCTTTCACAAGAGATGCCATATGTCTTCGAGCCAAAGCATTCATGTGTGAAGTACTTGCTGTAAAACATATTCTCATTTTCTGGCATGCTCACATTTGTGCCATGCCATCCAGTATTTTCATGCCAGTCTCTTGGCATTGCGCTGCCTCAGCATACTGTCCATATGGGAGATTTATAACAAAATACACCAAATTCGTGACATTTGAGCTTACATGTACATTTTACATATACAATTGACCCCTAAATGTATTTGGACACTTATCAAGTATGTAAAAACGTAAATATCAAAGAGCAAAATCAAAGAACAACTGAATGAAGGCAATGAAAGGAGGACAAGAAAGAGAGGTGCTTATAAATCAGCCTGCTGTCTGGGTGTTTCTCAGAGCACAAGGGCAGATACAGTAATAGATTGTATGACTTCACATTACTCTAGAGTCAGCAGTCACAGGAACAGGAAATGACAGCTAATCAAACACACAGTCTCGTTCACTGCACTTCACACCCGTGGCAGTAATCACACACTGGAGGAGAGCAGAGAGCATTACTCACACCCGCTCTTCAGCCAAACACATCACACAGCGGGTTTATTATACCTCCTCTGAGAGGCAGCAGCCTGTGAAAATCGGCCTAACGGTTTGATTAGATGATCGGCTAAATAATGTGTTTACCTGTTAATAGACTGCATTGTGCACTGTTATGTCTTCATTAAACGTAACAGGGTGGATGGCAACAGAGTTGTGTTTAATTGGAGATTGCAAGGTTACAAAGCACCTCTTAGGGATTTTCATTCTGATAGTTCTATAAATATCCACATTTTAATGATCAGAATTTCAAAATCATGGTAACAGGGTTGACATTTTATGATTGTCTCCTACTGACATATGTAAAAGTGCTAAAGTGATAAATATGAGATTCAGACTTGTGCTGAAAGAGTTCTTGAAAGAATAATGATGTCATCATGTCAACGAATTATGGAAAAGGTCTAGTATTTTTTTCCCCATAATATATGGTAACATATGGTAACAGGGTTCAGTAACCCAGAAGCGTTTTTATTTATTTTTGTATTTTTATTTTACATAAAACTATATTTGGTACTGTTGAAAGGTTTGGGGTCAGTACACATTTTTTCATGTTTTTGAAAGAAGTCTCTTACCAAGGCTGCATTTATTTGATTTTTTTAAAAATAGTAAAACTAGTGAAATATTATTGCAATTTAAAATAACTATTTTCTATTTGAATATATTTGAAATGTAATTTATTCCTGTGATGCCAAGCTTGAATTTTCAGCATCATTACTCCAGTCTTCAGTGTCACAT